AAAAAAGAATAAAATATGTTCAGAACTGTCAATTGGAAGGCAAAAAGAAAATCCTCAAAGACGTAAGCATTTTTACAGGGAGGAGAGTAATGTTTCACTAAGTCTGTAATAAAATGTGGAGGAATCACAGCACAGGACCCAAAGGCAGGACGGGAGGGAAAAAAATGTACTGGAACTGGAATAACCAGAATGCAATGTAAAGATCATCTCCACGCATTGTGAACAATGGAATGATGTCGCCGAGAATTCTGTCTAGTCATTGTTCACGGGAACCTAATATGCTATGTAAGCTTTGGCTAAAATGATAACTAAAAGCGCAGTGTCTGTTTCCTTACGTTGGAGGACTCGCAGTGACTCCCCAGTCCCGGGAGAGTGTTTGGCTTTTCTGACTGACCCATCTGTGTTTGTCCAGGTTGCTGAGCGGCTGATGACTATCGCCTATGAAAGTGGAGTCAATCTCTTTGATACTGCTGAGGTCTATGCAGCTGGAAAGTAAGTTGGTACCTGATTGTGCCCCTCAGTGACTTTTGTGGAACCAAGGAAATGTTACCAGGCCCCTTTCTGCTCCTGTCAAGAGTTTTCATCTCAGAAACCCGCAGGGGTCGTTCTCCCTCTGAGGCGATGGCCGTGAGACTTCAACCTGTTGGTGTGACAGCCTGTCCTTCCCAATCAGTTGACTGGTTTGACTCTTCCCCCCTTCTCTCTCCCCTCTTGCCTAAGGTAGAGAGTATTTGATCATCTCTAACTCTTCCTCCCACTAGTCCCTGTGCGAAGAAGGGATTGGAGAGAGTTAAAGCCCGAAGCAACTGTCGTGGTCTAGGGGAGGGATAAATGTGGCTGGGACCAGAACGGTGGCTGTGGTGATAGTTGAATATATGAGTGAGCAGATTCCAGAACGATGCTTCAAAGGCTGGTTGTGTCATTTCATAGCCACATCCCACAGTTCCTCGAGCTCTGTGTGAAACTGGGACATCCTCTCTGCAGGGCGGCAGAGACTCCTTTGCCTGTTTGCAGACATGTCACCACACCTAGCAATCCCGAGAGATCAGAGATTAGGATGGGATCTCCAACGAGGCCCAGAAGTCCAATGCCTTCTGTCAGAGGGCATTTTCACTGGCATTCTGGGGAGACAGAGGATTTTGCTTCTTTTGATCAAAGTGTCCCATCTAGGGGCAACTTTCCCAGGTAACCAGGCTTGGGGCTCAGGGTCAGGGCTTGTTAAAGGAGAACATGTGGGTGAGATGTTCTCAAGGCCGGGCCTCGAGGTCCTTCCCCGGCAAGGCCGACAGAACAAGCTTCCTAACCTCCTGCCATGAACCTGGCTGGAGGGTCTAAGGAACCTGATTGGCTGGACAGCAGTTCGAGCAGGCCCGCTACCTCCCATTGGACTGGGGAACAGAAGCAGCTGAGGACCCAATTCACCTCCTTCCCGGTGAGAATTAAAATCAAACTGTTGAATTTACTGAATCAGGTTCATTGCTGACTTCTCCGAGTGCAGGTTCTTTACCTCGATTTCTTCGGCTTGCAAGGGCAGGTCTATGGTTAAGAGGCACCAGGGAGGCTCCTGGTCCCCATCCCAGATTTGTTTTGTGGAAGCCCAAGGGAAAAAATAAAATATCTAAGGCCTTTCTAGTCTCCACATCCACCTTTTTCCTCAATGGTTTGTTTTTAGTTCCAAAGGGAGCTAAGGTTTTAAAAAAAAAAAAAAGAAAAGAAAAAGTGGAGGAGCCATTCACAAATCTGTTACGTAGAGTTTTGTTTGTATTCAGTTGTGAAGGATGAGCAGTTTTGCTTCGGGAGTGATTAATTGTCAGTGTGTGACTGAGCTGGGTTTCCACGGGGAAACGGGAGGTGGAAATGGCAACAGTCGGAGAGACAGCAGGGAAGAAAGACAAAAACCAAAACAGACGAGTCGCCTTCAGCCCATTCTTTGCAGGGCACAATGGTGGTTTATGGTGAAGCTGGGCCCTCCAACAGGGAGTGGTCCCGTGGTGGAATCCTCATCTTCTGTAGGAGCGAGCTGGCTGGACTCCAGCCAATGTACCTTAAGCGCAGCTCCCATCTAGCTCACGATGCAGGCTTGCGTGTTCCTGTGATGCTGCTGAACAGGGTTTAGCAGAGCTTCCAGACTAAGACAGACTAAAACCCGATGGGCCACACATGTCCGGTCACTCAGGTCGGATCACAGCTCAGTCCTGTTGTGCCTGAGGTCATCTTGAGTCCAGGGGTTTCTGGGAAAGCAGTAACATCGCCACACCCTGGAAAAGGCAGCCCTTTCAGTGAAGACCAAGAGCGATGAGCAGGACTCTCAGTCCTAAGCCCCTGATTTCCTCGGGAGCCTGCTGGCTTCTCAAGTTGGTATTGGCCAAAGGAATGTAGAAGAGCCAACCTGGAGCCCATCATCCCCTGGCTAGGGTAGGTGGAAGGGGGAGAGGACAGCAGAGATGATTCCAGTTTAAGTCTCCATGCGGTCTCAGAGGCAGGCTGGATGCTTCTCTATGTCCCCTTTTATCTTTTTCCTACAATAAAGTTTGAGACTAATTTTGTCACTGGAACCTAGGACATTCTCTGGATGTAGCTCACGGCTTCTGCAGACCTGGCCTTTGGAACGTGTTTTTTTTAATTATTTTATTGGGGGCTCGTACAATTCTCATCACAATCCATACACACATCCATTGTGTCAAGCACGTATGTACATTCGCTGCCCTCATCATTCTCAAGACATTTGCCCTCCACCTCAGTCCTTAATATCAGTTGCTCATTCTCCCCCTCCCTCCCTGCACCCCTCCCTCATGAACCTTTCATAATTCACAACTTATTATAGTTTTGTCATAAGTTATACTGTCCAACGTCTCCCCCCGCCCTCTTCTCTGCTGTCCCTCCCCCAGGGAGGAGGCAATACCTAGATTCTTGTAATCGGTTCCCCCTTTCCACCGCACATTCCCTTCACCCTCCAGGCCTCGCCCCCTTTACCACTGGTCCTGAAGGAGTCATCTGTCCTGGATTCCCTGTGTTTCCAGTTGCCATCTGTACCAATGTACATCCTCTGGTCTAGCCAGATTTGTGAGGTAGAATTGGGATCATGATAGTGGGCGGGGAGGAAGCATTTAAGAACTAGAGGAAAGCTATATGTTTCATCGTTGCTACCCTGCACCCTGATTAGCTCGTCTCCTCCCCTCAACCCTTCAGCGAGGGGGTGTCCAGTTGCCTACCAATGGGCTTTGGGTCTCCACTGTGCACTCACCCACCTTTACAATATTTTTTATTCTTTGATGCTTGATACCTGATCCCTTCAACACCTTGTGGTCACATGGAACATTTTAAACCAACGTGAAAAGTCCTCTTTTGTCCTGCAAATACCTCCTGGGAGTCCCAATGTCCTAGCTTAACAGTGTGAGGGCTCATTGTCCTGCCCAATCACAATTGGAGACCACCACAACAGAGGGCAAACCTTGGCTCCCATTGGGCACAGCCAGGCAGAGCATTTACATATGGGCTCAGGTGGTGCAAACGCATCAAACTGCCAAATGAGTCCACTCTTCCTTAGTATCAGGACCGCAGGCAGTCTCCTGCCAACGTGACAGGATTTGGCAGGAGCTTCTGGAATGCTTTGGAGTCGGAGTCGTCAGGCACAAGCAGAAACAGCAGAAATGGTGCCACCAGCCGAGAGCAGCTTCTATTTTCGGGACATGTAGGCACGGAGAGTTCAAACAAGGAATGGCTGGGGTGTACAGGATTGACTCTTACTTTCCCGGGACACAGCATCCTGAGGCTTGTCTGTTTCTCCCTCCAGGGCCGAAGCGATCCTGGGCAGCATCATCAAGAAGAAAGGCTGGAGGTACCTTCATTTGACATCATAATGGGTTTGCCTCTAAAGATGCGGCTGTCCTTCAGCAGAGCAGGGAACGTAAAATAATGTGACACCTGACCAAAAGGCTGTCAAAAAGAAAGGTCTACGCTTGGTAAAGAAATGATTTGTACTGATGGGAAAATAAATGTCAGCAAGTTCATTGCTGCAAAAATGATTGGCTAGTCATTGATCACAGTGACTTACCGTGAGGTTGAGCAGAGGAGGGAATGCTCATGAGATACCTGTGCATAAAAGCAAGTGATGTTTTCATGGCTTCTGACTGCCATTTGTGGTCCTTTGGGGAAGGAAGCCAGCCGACAGGAAGCTGATTAACGAGACACGTGTATTGTGCTCACTGCTCATTTTATTAACAACTCTGGCTGCAAAGAGATGATAAAACAAGAAAGCCCTTGGGATGAACATCCTCCTGCTTTCTTATCTGAACACAATTAGCCAGTGTCTCTCCTGTGTGTCCAGGGAGCCTATTATCTACACATCTGCTACCCTTGAGGGGTGCTTCGAGAAACAAGAGGGGCTGTGCTTCTGGGGCCCTCCCTTCAACTCTTCCAACCAAAACAAGTAGACGTGAGAAAGGCTGGCTGTCACATCTGTGTGCAATGGGGGGAAGCCACACCGCTCGGCTCCACTGAGCAGGTCAGCCACAGCAGCCACTTCGTCCACCAGACATTGAGAATTTAGGAAAAGCTTAGCAAAGCCATTGGACACGCGTGGGGGGGTCTCCACTGCTCTGGCACATTTGCCAAATAAATACATGACCAAATAAATACCACAGGTGCTGTCTTAGTGGAGACAACTGGGCAAAATCATCTGTGCCCATTCATGTTGTCTTAGCCTGGATTTCTTTTTCATCTTGCCTAGGGAAACATGGATGTGTTCAAGAGTGCTCCTCCAAGCTTGGTTTCCTATTGCCTCTACCGCATCACTTCAACTCCTTTTAGGAGGAGAAACTAGAAGAACCCAACAGAGCTCTCTGTTCATTATTATGGCTGCTCGCTCTCTCACTGCTCCCTCAGAGTGAACACAGGGCCTTCCCTAAATGGAACAGTGGGCTTATGTGGATATATAAACAAATACAGATTGGTGGTCTACTTCCTCTCCTTTCTCTGGCCCCCCACCCTCCATTCCACAAGACGATAAAGACATTAAGAGGAAAATATATCCGTCCTTCAACAGAGAGAAGCATGCATGTCCCCACCTGGTCCTCCACATTTCAGCCCTGCCTTCCCACCAGCAGGTGGGTCCATCTCTCACTAAATCAGACACTGAGATGAGGTCCACCCCCAGCCCAGTGGAGTCTGCAGTGAACTGTCGGCTGCCTCGGGACATCTGAGGATGGTGAAGCAGCCTTGACGCTTCTCAAGAGTCAAAAGGCACTTCATCATCACTGTCCACAGTCGCAGGGACGGTGATATGCCTTGTGTAGAAAGTACATTCACATGCCTCTTTTACCAACTGCCTTTCAGTCTTGCAAGTAAGAACTCAAGGTCTCACCAAGCTACAGTTGGCATCTGCCCCAATGGGGTTGGTGAAAATATAGACCACCTTCTCATAACCGTGAGTCATGCAAAAATTGACCGTCCCTGGGCAAATGCCTTCCAGTTTTGATCATACCATTGGCAAGCGATGTTGCCCAGGGCAAATTAACGAACTTCATTGCCCTATGTCTGGATTTTCCCACCTGTAAAGTGGGCATTACTGATCATGAGGTTTTGTGTTGATAAAGTGAGGAAAGGTGTGCAAACACATCTGGAAGGTTGTGACCTATGCATGCAAAGCCCTCCTGTTATTCTGTGCACACTGCAGAGTTGCCGTGAGAATGTTGCTGAGGGCCACTGAGAACTTGCCAGGCTCCTGTCGGCCTGCCTGTGCTATTTGAACATAAATGGCAGTGTGCACACCCATATCTGCCAATTTTCCACAAAGCCTGCCTTTGGAGAGGGGAAAAATGGTGTCTGTGGTGTTGGGTCGAATGTGCGAAGTTGGCAGGCCTGACGGTTCTGAATCATCAAAGGGTTGCATGCGTTTTTGAAGAATACTCCATGCAGCCTGTGGGAAGCTCTGGAGATGTTTGCTAGAGGAGAGCCGGCGTCCCATCCCGGCTGTCCTCATAGGTTGAGGGATGAGCCTGGAAAGTCTGTGAGCCCTTTCGGGATGTGTAACCTTCCGTGCAGGGATGGGTCCCACCTTCCACCGGGGTGACTGCAATGACTCCTCAGGGCGCTTTCGCCAGTGGGCAGAGGGGCTGGCATTTTCTGCGCATTTTTCTTGCTGCAGCTGAGTTGTCAGAGGGTCACCATAATCCCCCACTGGGAATCATTAATCATGATAGACTTGTGTGTCTTCGGGCCCTTAGGCACCGGTTCCACAGTGATAGAATTATGCCTTCTTTTAAATACTCTGGAAGTTTGGCCTTGATCTTTGACTAGCAAGTGATTTTTCTTTCTTTCAAGACCAGCTCTATGGAATCACATCTCTCTAGAAACCACACTGCACTGAGCGTTACCGCCCAGTTTTGAATTGTGAGCTTAGGGTCCTCAGGCCATCTTCCTGATCCCACAGTCTTGACTCTGCGGTTGCCTCTCCGGCCCTTGGCTGTGGCTTTGAGTAGAGCGTGCGTGGGCCCTCCAGCTTTCCACTTCCACACCTCTGTCTCCTAGGAGACAACTGGTAGAACTCGGAGTCAAGAATTTTAGGTCTATTTTCCTAAAACGCCATTTCCTTTTAAGAAGGTACTCAAGGAAATGTTATTCTTATCTATTCTCAAATTTGCCAGCTATTATCATTGACTCCATCACTAATGTTACCACATAGTCAGTTGCTGCCTATGAAGACCTTGGTTGGAAGAGGCAAGAACTTAGAGCTACCGGGGTCCATGAGTCCCTGGCTGGGGCAAACCATGCATGCTCGGCTACTAGACTAAAGGTTGGTGGTTTAAATCTACCCACGGTCACTGTGGCTGTGATTCCAGCCAAGAAAACCCTTTGGAACCATTCTCTTCTGTAACACATGGGTCTCCATCCATTGGAATCAACGCACGGTGATGGGTTTGGTTGGTCACTAGGGTCCATAGCCCTCCATGGGGGAGGGACATGCTCCCTGCAAAATATCACACTCGGCATGATCATCATGACACCCAGTGGTGAAGAACTATTATTGGTGGCTATTTATTTGGGGTACCAAAGCAACAAGAAGCGTTGTGGCACATGGTGAAAGCACTCAACGACCAACCCTACGGTCAGTGGGTTTGAACCTACCAGCTGTTCTGCAAGGCAAAGATCTGGCCTAATGATGGCAGTCTCGGCAGTGCTGTGGGGCAGTGCTTCTCTGGCCTCTAGGGCTGCTGAGAGTTGAAATCAACTCTGCAGCAATATGTTTGGCCCTTGAGGCTTTGATTACAAAAGCAAGCCAACTTTTCAGTTCCCTGGCGTGTCATTGTTTACTGTCCCTGACCCTCCGCACCGACTCAGCTAGCACCCACCTTCACCTTGTACCCAGGATTCACCAGCTCCCCACGCTGCCATCCTCCTCCTCCCGCCTCCGGAGCAGTCACTTCCTTGAAGACCTGGTTTCAGCTCCCCTCTCACCAGATTCCCCTTGTCTTGACACTTCAGTGCCAGGACATTTATTTCTAAATGAGGTTTTTTAATGTGAGTTATCACAATAGATTATTTCTGGTGTTATCTTAAGAGTATAACTCCATGGGATGACCTGCAATGTAAATGCATTTTCTCTCTCTCTCTCTCTCTCTCTCTCTCTCTCTCTCTAACATACAGGAGGTCCAGCCTGGTCATAACAACCAAACTCTACTGGGGTGGAAAGTAAGTGCTGACCTGGCATTCATTGATCCTTTTTGACAACCATTTTACATCTAACCAAAGAGATGCATTGGCTTTTGTTTTTGTTGATTGGGTTCTCATGCCGAGAAAGCCACCAGGAAGCTAGAATTCCATTTGGCAAGTTGCGCCCAAGGAAATTGTGTGCAATGCAGGTGGTCACTGGTTGCGAAGTGGTTTATGGAGTTTTTTCTAATACCAACCTCATACCCAGTCCCACTGCCAAAGTAGAGTTCATGTTTGGGGAAAAGAAAATAAGCGTAAAGCATCACAAAAAGAAAAGGCTACTTAAATCTGTCCAACCTCGAGGATTTCCATGGAACACCAAGATAAAAAGATCCGGTCTGGCCCCTCCTATAACTCTCTGATCATTTCTGCAGAGGGCTACAAAGTACTGATCAAAAGGATGATGTCATTGGAGAACAGCTTGCATGCAGCCACCTGCATGAAGTTGCCGTGAGGCCAAAGGAGGCAGAACAAATTTCCCAGGATGCATTAGCTCCTGATGAGCCAGCAAGTGTTTGAACTGGGCATTGCATTATTCAGCAGGACTTAGAAGGCTGCCCTCTTTACCAGACACGTGAGAATGCAGCGGTCTAGTTTCCATAAGCCAGAGTGATGGCTGGTACTGTGCTTTTCGTGGAAACATCAAAGAATGCTAGCATCTTCACAGGAACTACTTACCTCCCTCTAACTGATGGAAATGGTTAAGAAAACACAGGGGCTGGGGCAGAGTCTTCCTTAGGAAGCTTCTAATCAAAATGGATGTGTGTGTGCACACGCGCACACACACCCCCTTTACTGTTGTTTTTGAATCCGTTTATGATAAAGAAGAGGACAGAAAGAGGTAAATGCAATTTTTATTCCTAATGCAGTCTGTAGGAAAGCAAAACAGCAGAGATGTGGATTTTCGTGGTGCTTCAATTTCATGGTCCTCTTGCTTGTCTTTGGCGATAGCGTTCAAGACCTGCTTCACTTCAAACTAAGGGAAGAAAGCATTCTGCAAGGACCAATGTAGAGTAGTGCTACCTGCGATAGTATCCATTTATAAAAGATACAGACCCACCACAGGTGAATGGAACACGACTCGGTTTTACAAAAGAGGCTGTCAACGGTACTGATGTTGAGGGGGGGAAATGAATCATATTTCTTTCTAAGGGGCTACATCCAGTTTGAGAATGGAGAATTGTCCAGGAGGGGAGTGTCTTGGTAAAAGATTTGTCTTCTAGAAAATTACTTCAAAGAAGACTTG